AGTCGATCTGCGCACGCAAGGAGGTGCTATTCCTATTCTTCTTCTGGAAAAACGAAAGAGAGCTTCAAAACAGACTGCAGCGCCATCTGAAGCAAAGAGCATACTTCCTGCGGACATTTTTTAGGCTGAGTTGCCCATCTTGTCTTGTACTATCTTTGTTTTTATGTAAACCAACGGTTACCAAATTGCTTTATTCTTTAAAACTTCTATTCTAATTTTTTTTAAGTTGGTGCCTCGCAGTGTTCCAAAATCAAGGTTATCCTAAATCCTGAAGTTGCTCTGAGCCAACCAGGTAACCACCGGAAGAAAGCACATCATTAGAAAGTCATTGGATTCGGAGTCGATTCTTACGATTCCTAGCTTTCAATAATCGGGAACCTCCGCAAAAATGGGCCGCAGTACACAGTAAGCCTCTATCTTACAGTTGAAGCTGATTGCCGCTAAAATTTGTGACTGGCCTCTTGGGGGGGAAAAAAACTGTCTGAGTGAACCATTAAACTGACTTTTGTTTTGGTAAGTGTTTTTCGGCGCTCGCAACTGTATTAGGACATGTGAGCGTGCAAACTGACTTTGCTGGGAACACCTAAGAAATTACTTCCGCGATCCCTTAACAGCCACAAGGTGAAAATTAAGGTTTGAAAGGGTAGAAGTCGGGGAGGAAGGGGGCGGAGAAAGAGAGGGGGAGAGCGAGAGAAGGAGAGGGAGAGAGAGAGAGGAAGGGAGAGACAGAGAGACAGAGAGAGAGAGAGAGAGAGAGAGAGAGACAGAGAGAGAGGGGGGGGGAGAGAGAAAGAGAAGTCAGACCAGAGGAGAGAGTTTGGTCAGCTGATAAGTTGCCGCTCTCTAGATCAAGTCAGACGATAAGCTAGGGCCCTCAGATACACAGAACGAGCAGGGAGGGGTTCTTGAACAGAGCGTGGAACAGTCGGAATAACAGCCCTTAGACGCACTTTCAGTCCACTCGTTCTCCTTCTTTTTCTCCTTCTTCTATTTTTTCCCCTTTCTTTTCCCTCTCTTTCTCCCCCCCCCCCAATCCCAACCCATTCCTACCTCTTCTTTCTCTCCTTCTACTTTTCTTCCTCCCCTTCTACTTTTCTTCCTCCCCTTCTTCCTCTCTTTTTCCTCCTCCTCCTCCTCTTCGTCCCTCCCTTTCTCATCCTCCACCTTTCCCCTTTTCTCCTTTTTCCTCTTCCTCCCGCTCCTCCTCCTCCCTCTCTTTCTCCTCACCCTCCCCCTTTTGTTACTTTTTTCTAGTTTGATCAAATGAATAACTGACAAAGTTCTAACTGTATTCTCCGATGAGGATTATGAGATAGATATAAGACCATACGAACAGATAATACGAACAAACAAACGAAACAGACACACGAAATATACCAACGAAAGGGTCATGGATGCTCACCTGAGATACTCCTGCAGGCAAAGATCACAGAAGCGATGACCACATGTCCTCACCAGGACAGGGTCCCTCATCGGCAGACGACACAGCGGACAGTAACATCGTCTACGAAGTTTTTCCGCGAAAGTCAAACTATAACCTGGCATGGCCGCGCACCCAGTCGTGCAGAGCTCTGAGGAGGGGCAGCTAGAGAGTCCCAAAGTCTGGTCTCAGGAGAAAGAGGCCGTGGCCTCCCGCATTCTGCTCGTGGTGAACGTGGTAAGGTGAGTGTGAGTGTGTGTGTGTGTGAGTGGGGGGGGGGGGTGATGGGTAACTCGGAGAGATCAAAACTGTAAAGCTAAAGCATGGCACTAGAGGATTACACTGGGGTTTGTTGTTTGTATCCGACAGATATAACCTTTTGGCGGTTTTCCTTGATTTGATGAAAACAGAACTTTTTGGATGTTTTCCTGTCTTGAGAACGAACTTCTTGGCGGTTCCTTTTCTTGAGAATGAACTTTATGGCGATTGTTCTTGGTTTGAGACAGAACTTTTCCGATGTTTTCTTTTTTTAGAAAATGAGCTTTGTGGTGCTTTTCCTTAATCTAAGTGTATCCTTTTACTTGACTACAGCTCAAGTGATGCTAATCCTCGGAGCCAAGAAAAAATTTGTTTTTGGTATTGTTGTCGTTGCTGTTGCCAGCATTTCATATGACAGACTGTCGCTGCTAATTTCACTTCTGTCTCTGCTGCTGAACTTGCTGCTCTCAGGTCAAGATAAGATGCTCGAAAGGGCCGTAATCCTTTTCCGGCGAACTCCCCTGGAAAAACGTGGTTTTTATTTATTTTTTTCCTTCTCGTGAGGTGCTTGTTTTCTTTCCCTTTGCAAGCAGCAAATAAATTAAATAACAACCCACAACTCCAGATACAGCTAAGACATTACACAATCCACTTATAGATTAAATTGAAACTTCAAAAAGACATTTATTTACTAACAGCAAGAAGCGAGACGTCCTATATAAAGTTCTGACGGTTATGCTTTTCAAATCTGCACTTAGAATAGGTCACTTTAAAGAACAAGGGGCTATCCCGAAAAATGCTGCTTTGAGAAAATCGAAGGAAAAGTTTTAATTGCCCCTTGTTCAGTTTCATTAAAAGACAAGGAGAGTTTTCTCTATAACCAAACAAATATTCACATCAATGGAACTAAGCTTCTCCTATAGGTAGGGCAATGCCCACTTTTGGTGTAGGTTAAGATTTCTGGAAACCTCCGAAATCTGGGTTAGCCCGCTTGTCCTTAAAAGCGACCTAATTTTGTACATGCATCTAATAATAATATGGCGCCCGAGATTTCACTCCGCACAATTCTGACGCCATGTCATGTGATCCAGAAACTAGGTCACAAAGTTTTAGCTTAAATTATTTGAAGTCACGAGTTCATTCATAAACGTGTCGAGACATTAAATCTGTAAAACCACGAAGTATTCTAACAACCAAAAGGTTTTATTGTTGTTGTTTTTACACGAGACACATACGCTGCTCGAGGTAACCGAAAGTGGGTCGACGCTTTTCATTACTTATTGTGTTTCTTTTATTTGCAATTGCAAGGTCCTACTACTTACTCTTCTCTTCTGTGTTATTTCTGTCTATCTGCCGTATTGTTTCGCTGCACTAAATGACTGTTGTTCTGTGCCGATGCGCGTATCCTTACTCAACAACAAAAGCCTTACTATTCACGAACAGCTGACTTCGAGATTGGGTGAGACTTGATGTCGAGGGATGTTGTATCGTCAGTGGAAGACCTCACCCACAGGATCACGTTGTAGTCTGTGAACAGAAAGTTTTAGTAAACATTTTACGGCACTTGCAACACAGTTAGATCATGCAATGGATAAGTGGCAAAGATCAAAAGTGTTACAAGAGAGTAACAAACACAAAAAAGGAGGAGAGACAAGGTCAGTAGATGTTTGCTAGTAATGCTTGACAGGAAAGAGCAAACGACAAAAGAACACCTGCCAGCCACCCACTAACAAACAAACTATTTAAGTAACTAATTAACTAACTAACTAACTAACTAACTAACGTCGATAGAAACAAGGGCACAGGTAAGATATATGTAGGCCTACAATGACAGTTTGGAAGAGCATTCTTTCAATTCGGCACTTCAAAAAAAAAAAGGGGGAGGGGGGATGCCGCACAGGACATAGACACTCACAGGCTCGAACGTACACACACACTGAAGCATGGATGCATAGACAGACAAGTATGCACACATGCGGACACGCACGCACGCACGCAAAAACACACACACACATACACACACATGCACATACACATACACACACACATACACCCATACAAACACGCGCACACACACAAAGAGGGAGAGAAAATGAGAGAAACAAACCTATGGGAGGAAGAAAAGGGTAGAGACAGAGAGAGAGACACAGAGAGAGAGAGAGAGAGAGAGAGAGAGAGAGAGAGAGAGAGAGAATGGGGGATGGGGAGAGAGAGAAAGAGAGAGAGAGAGATATATATATATATATATATATATATATATATATATATATATATATATATATATATATATATATATATATATATATATATATATATATATATGAGAGAGAATGGCAAAGGCAGAGACAGAGAACAATTACTATAACCGGCAGAGAAGGATCTGTGCTATAAAAACAAAAAACAAAAAACTACAATCTAACAAACCAGCAAACAAAGAAACAAACGAATGGAATACTTTAAGTAAACACCTGAGGGTCACGAGACAAACAGTACGTAATTTTTTAAAAACCCACACAAAACTCATTTTTCCCCTTTCTGTCAAGACAGGCGTCAAGATGTTCTGTTTTATTGTGTAGACCGTTTAGCGCATGAAGACATTGTGTCGCGACATGGTACAGAATCAGGCTCGTCAGTTTTTGGTCATACACGGCATCATTGAAGCTTATTTGTTTGTTTGTCTTGTTGTTGTCGAAAAAGAAAAATGTACGTCGCGATAAAATTTCCGCCAATGATTTTTTTACTTTCAAAGCTTGAGTAACTTAAGAAAATTTCCCGCCTTTTTTTTTGGGGGGGGGGGTGAGTTTATTTGTGCCTTTTATCAACGTTTTTCAGTGAAACTCCTCACAGAAATGTATTTATAAAAGAATATAAAAGGTGTAGAGCAAAGAGGTATAAAAAAAACATTTCTCAAAGGTAGGAAAGCATTTCGGTTTCTTCGATTTCTTAAAGTAGACGAGCGCCTGAATTAACTACGGTGCAACACATTTATTGTAAGGTCGGGCGTTTAACTGCTTGTCTGGGTGAAGGCAGACGGAAAAAAAGATGATCTGTGGGTACAAGTCAACTTGAGCTGGGAGATCACGTGTCCTTCTACACACTTCATATATCTCCTGTCTCTGTGGGGAACAGTATGGTGCCGTGACTACATTCGCAAAAGACGCCCTTAACTTATTTTTGTTCTAGAAAGTGTTTTGCGGCCCTCGCAACACAATTAGGTCATTATGTAAGTACCGAAGAATAGAGGTGTTACAAGAGAGTAACAAACATAAAGAAAGAAAGAGGAGGGATAAGTACGATAGATGTTTGATTAGGAAGAAGGTGCAATCCATACCAGAGCACCCGTCAGCTACCCAGTAACTAACTAACTAACTACCTAACTAACTAACTAACTAACTAACTAACTAACTAACTAACGAACGAACGAACGAACGAACGAACGAACAAACAAACGAACGAACGAACGAACGAACGAACGAACGAACGAACGAACGAACGAACGAACGAACGAACGAACGAACGAACGAACGAACGAATTAACTAACTAACTAACTAACTAACTAACTAACTATCTAACTAACTAACTAACTTGACTCAAATAAACCTTTACTGTTACTGTTTCACGTTTATCGGCCAAATGTGCCGTTGTCTAATGACATTACAAAAACATGTATTGTATTAATGCTTTGTCTTCTCTGCATGGCCTCGTGAGATAAGAGGCATTTTCTGTCTCAGCCATCAATCTACCGTTTGACCTGAAAACCTAGTATTCGACGAAATCATGATTTGCCGCAATTCTTTTGTTTGTTTGTTTCTTTCTTTTCTTTCTTTCTTTCTTTTTCTTTCTTTGTTTTGTTTTGTTTTGCTTTTATTTTGTTTTTTATTCTTTTTTTGGTTGTGTGTTTCTTTGTTTGTGTGTTTGTTTGTTTGTTTGTTTGTTTGTTTGTTTGTTTGTTTGTTTGTAATTATAAACCAGCTTTCTTCAAACTTAAACCACTTTACTTGTCTTGTAATTTGAGTATTCCTATGACCTTTAAAGCTTATTATTGTATTATCAGAATATCATCGGGTTACTTTCCGAAAGCTGGTTATGTATCTAGCATAACACTATTATTGTTAACAATAATTATTCTTTTATAATATGCGTGTAACTGCGAGTCCGTTGGTAGGTGCAAGTAGACTATTATATTTTCATTATAAATGTTTACTTGTACAGATGGGTGTGGAAGAGAGGATGTGTGTATGTGTGTGTGTGTGTGTGTGTGTATGTGTGTGTGTGTGTGTAAGTGTGTTTGTAAGTGTATGTGTAAGTGTATGTGCATGCACATATGTGTGTGAAACACCAAATCAATCTGCCAGCATCTAGACATAATAAAATCATTTTATCCTATACGGCGGATATAGAACAATGTCTTAAGCTATGTGACATCTGTTCAACTTGCACAGTATTGGAAAAAAAAGAAATCGATAACAAAACCAAAGTCTTTTTTTAAATTCACATTTTGATTACGACTAAATTCTTTTTTGTAAAGGTCACTTTGGCTCAAACGGCATAAGCTTGCTTTTCTCATTGCAACGGCATTTAAAATTGTCAGCTGTGCACAGTTTATCTTCTTAACCTCACCCAGTTATCAGCGAGCCGGGCAAATACTGTACTGTATGTGATTGGCCATAGAGCACGGGGGAAAATGATTAGATGGCTTATGATATTATGCTCATACACATTAATACATACACAGAAACGCATGCGTACTCGCACGACCAGGTACGTGAACACGCACACCCGCACGCGCACACACACACACACACACACACACACACACACACACACACACACACACACACACACGCACGCACAAGCACACACATACACCAACGCGCGTGCGCACACACACGCACATGCAAACGCAAACGCAAACGCAAACACACATACACACTTATCATATAAATACATACAGGCGATACATATTTAATTAGTCAGCGCGTGAGTGTGTGCGTCCATGAGTTTGTGTCTGTGTGTGTGTGTGAGAGTGTGTGTGTGAGAGAGAGAGAGAGTGTGTGTGTGTGTGTGTGTGTGTGTGTGTGTGTGT